TCCTGCAGGTGCAGAAAGAGATTGATCAAAGGCTAATGCAGTCTGTTCATGTTGAGATTTCCTGTGCCTAAAGCCATTGGTGAACATCACCTTTCCTAGAGGTGACTTGTTGACTAAAGAGTCACAGTTTTGTGGCTTCAATCTTAAATCTTTTGTTTGTAGCTCTCTGCTTAAACTGCCTTAAAGCACCATTCTCTACAGCCTTTTGGATAGCAAGTTGTGTGGTTTCCCATGGTGTTGACACAGTCAAACCGGAATTCCTTTTTGCTTAGCTAATGTCAGTTTGGAAAAGTCCCAATTAATGAGAGGTTAAAAGCCTATGTCAGCTTTTAAGGTTGCTGTTTAGATGCAGAGTCTCTGTATTTGAGTCTTTTCTCATATAATAGGTATCCAACCAGATAATTCAGGTTGGAAGGCACCTCAGGAGGCCCTAATCTCTCAAGTAAGGAACATCTTTCCTGTTCTTTTTTTTTTAACTGGCTTTATCTGCATGAAGACATCACAAGTTTATGGACATTTTGATCCCAAATCATTAAAACTAACAGGTTCAAAAGTACTAACCAAAACCAAAACTTAAACATAATTAGGTTATGATTATGAAGATTAACAGTATATTTATTATTAATTTTCATAATGTCCTGGGTTCAGCAGTAGCAGTCATGTTTTTTCCTTTGTGTTAACTGGTGCAGTGCTGTGTTTTGACTTCTAGTTTGAGGACAGTGTTGGTGAAGCCGATGTTTTCGGTTGTTGCTAAGTGATGTTTACCCTGACCAAGGACTCTGTGAGGCTCATGCTCTGCCAGGGAGGAGGGGAAGCTGTGAGGAAGCAGAGACGGGGCGCCTGACCCGGGCTAGCCGGGGAGGTATTCCATACCACAGCACGTCATGCCCGAGGTGGGGGGTAACCGGGGAGTTACCCGGAAGGACGGGGGCTTCCGGGTGGAACTCGTCTTCTTGGCCGGTGGTATCATATTCTCTTCCCTTGTTATTTTCCCTTATCATTGTTTTAGCTGATAGTAGCGGTGGTGATTTGTTGCTGGACTGTTCTTATCTCAACCCGTGGGAGTTGCATTCTTTTTGATTCTCCTCTCTGTCCCTCCGGGAGCAGGGGGAGGGAAAGAAAGTGGGGGAAGTGAGCGAACGAATTACCTGACTGGGTTTAAACCACGACACATACCCACAGAATAAGAATGAGGACAAAATCATTGATCTTTGTTGCAAAGAAAATCATATGCATAGCGAAAAATTACATCAGGTTTCTCAGACTGCAAGCCATTTGATATATAAAAATAATTAATTCTGAGATTCACAGTCACATGTAGATCAATTCTTCCATGACAGGTACATTTAGAAGGTTACTAAATAAGTCATGGCACATCAAGACCTTTATGTTTCAGAAATCTGGTGTTATGGTGCAGTGCTTTGAAAACTTAGAAGTAAAAGCTGAGAAGTTGTTAATGAGTTAATCTTACCTGCTTTATAAAATGTATTGCATCCTGCTTTCAGGTGGGTGCATGTACTCCAGTAAATTACACTTCTTGTTGCTTGAATGTAATGAATGCTAATGACAGATAATGGTGTCTTGTTTCCAATTAGCATTATCAAGAGAGACTGAGGTTTCTAGAGCTCATGATCACTGTATTTTCCAGGAACAGCCTGAGAACTTTAAAATTACATAAACAAGTTTTATTTATGCTGAATTTATTTGCTGATTGTTTCCTTTCACAGTTGGCCATAATGTGAACCAGCTACATCTCTCTGTAATTCAGTAATTTAAAAAAAGACCTTATGTACGTGAAGCCATATTCTATAACCTGTTTTTATTAAGCATCATTCATTGTTCACTTTGCTAAAAAATACAGTAAAATGGTTACAAATAAATGAATGTGATAAATTACAGTGAATATTCAGAAAGGTTTAAAAAAACACGCATTAATGGATAAGCAGTCTGACTCACAAAATGTGAGTTTAAATCAGGTATTTCATACTAAGAAACACATTTTCTTCACTTAGGTGTTGTCCCGAACAGTTTCTAGTATGAGTTGGCAAGAGACTAAATACCATTTTGGCTGAAATCTATGAAAATGCATATTGTTCAGGGAAATGAAGTTGCAGCTCTTGGATCACTATCATGTTTTATGCAATGAATTATGTGTTTTCAGAAATATGTTAAGTATTGTGCTCACAGGCATCAAATATGCAGTGTATAACAAACCACTTTCTTTCTACACTTGCGATACAGCTTGTTTCTTATTATAATGGTTTGTGTATTTGGAACCTCGTATTCCGTCGATAATGTATTTCAGTTTGGAATGTTCACTGTGCAAGATTTTTATCTTACATCCTTATTGTTTGTATAACTGTGTGTTTTTCTCTAATAAAAAATGTGCAACAACAATAATATAACAATGAATCTTCACCTGCTCTTGCAAGTCTTGAGTTTTGCTGGGTGTTATATTGCTGGTAATAGCTCATGGCCCTCCTCTGTTATGACTGAAAACAGGACAGCTGTTGATAACTTACTGGCCTTTGGATTGGGTCCCACATGCACTCCTTTTAAAGCTGACTTTTGGATGCAGCCACTTGGTTTCGTAAAATATATCAGGAAGAAATATTAGCATCTTATCTGCTGACAGATGAGAGTTCTGGGATTCCTTCTCCTGTAACTCCACTCACTAGTCCAACACCCTCCTCTACCCAGCAGAGAAGGCAGTATGCCAAAATGCTGCTGCATGAATTGTATTACAGAAGATTTTTCATAGGGCTGTCTGCCAGACATGGCTGGTATCTCATCTGTCTGTTCTGAACATTTCAAGTAGTTTCCTAGTTGTAAACCACAAGCTTTGTATGTATGTATGTATGACTAGATGCATGATTTAACCCTGGTGCTTCCAGCACTCTAGTTCACCTTACATAATCCTGTAATTTTTATTTAACTGGCTACTAGAGTCATTGCAAAATTGCACAGAAAGCTTAATATGATCAACAAATAAAAGATGCATTCTTCCTGTTTGTTTCTTGCACTACATCAATAGGAGGATGAATGTATTTAATATATACATATATACATGCACAGTAATTAATTTTCAAGCAAATGGATGGCTCCCATTATCCTGGAAGGCAATTCTCTGCAGTGATTATTTTCTACAGAGCTCAGCTGGCGTTAGGAAAAATCTTTTGAAGTTTTAACTTCATTTTCATTCATGTCACTTCTATGACCACTTTCTGCAACTGCTTCAGCAAATGAATTTCATCTGCCTGAAATACTGACATGAGTGTACTATCCACTCATATAAATTGCTTGTGGCTAAATTACTAAATTAATGCATAGTGATTACAGTTGCATTTTAAGTTAAAAAAAAAAAAGCACAAATACTTGTAGCTGAAAACTGACTGTGGGAGCTGTGCCTAACCAGTCAGGGGATAACATGTCCCAAATCAAAAAAGCTTGAATGTCAGTTGCCAGATATGTGTTATCAGTGCTTTCAAGTGAGATAAGCATATGAATTATTCTCAGAAATTATTCCAAGAATAGTTATGGATAGCTTCTAAGTTCGAGAAATTAAAAATCTGAATACAGGCAGTTTGTGAACAAAGAAGGCAAAATTAGTTTAAGAAAATAATTGTTGCAGATTGGTTGTTTATTGCATTTGTGAAATGTTTTTACTGGCAATCCACTGTCAACTAAGCTTCTCTTTCAAGTGTAAACTCATATTTTTTAAAATTATAATCCAATATAGGAAATTGCCTGAGCAATACTGCTATAAATAATTCAATATTGAGCTGATTGCCTGCTTCTGTTCTTTTTGCAAGAGTCTTCCCTCACACAGTGTCCAAGCAAAAAGAAGCAAAAGTGACAACAAAAAATTGACAACAGGGAAAGTGTTATCTTTTCTGTTTGGTCCACTGCAGACAGAAGAAATAGAGTTCACGAAGGTTTTAAGTTTTTCTGAGCAGAGACTGATTCTTGTTATGTCTACCTGGTGTCTGGCAACAGTAGTAGTCAGATCTTGAATTTGGTACCAGGTACCAAAACCACAGCACAAACTGTAACTAATAATAACAGTCAAGCAAAAATGTGAGTAATTACATTTCTGTTTCATTAGTTCTTAGAGGTCAAATTTTCTGGATGTCCACTCCAGGTAGTAGCTGGGATTGCTGATTATCAGGATGCACCTATGACCTGAAATCTTTTGATAACATGTTAATACGACCATACATAATTTTTGTTAATCAATTTGGAGAAATCTCCAGGAACTCACCAACAAAGTTTAAGTTGACGATCAGGTACTCTTTATTGTGGCGCCAGGAACAAAAAGCAGTGAAAAAGTGGGTTGGAGATAATTAAGTCTGATTTTCCACTCCTTGACCCTCACTACTTTCAATATCCATTTTATTGATTATGCATTATATTGATTACTGTATAAAACATTCAATGGGTGTCCAGTGACTGCATAAGGAAGAAGGCTGTGGAGAATCAGGTTTCTCTCTACAAGCAGTGGAAATACAGCTTCTTCAGAAGAAAAGCTGAAAACCTGTTGGTGTTTCCAGTAAAGATAAGGTTCCACATAATACAATAGACTCAGCTTTGGGGAAAACAAACTGTGCTGAGTTTGATCCTGCATAAGTGTTTGGAATTGCGGGTGAGATTAGCACCTCTTTGTCAGTTTAGCAATAGTGAATATTAAAGTGGGTGGTCTTTTTTTCAGACCTCATTTTTTCAAATAGAATTTCTGTCAGTGTTTGTGACATCTTCTAGGTTTAATTATTTAGGTCCAAATATATTTTATGCTCAGCAGATAAGATATGTGATGTGCTCTACAATAGCTGTTATTGCCACTGATACATTTTCCTTCATGTTTTTCAAATTCTAACTAACCTGAAACTAGCTGGTCTATGCTATCATGTAAAAGTGTTAAAACATTTCATTTCTGTGCTCTGTTTTTGTTTTGAGTTGGTTACCTATCATAATAATGACATATCTATCTGAATCTGTTACAGTGTGCCTGAATATTATGACTACGGTCACGGAACAAGTGAAGAGGCTTACGACAGCTACGGTAAGGTCTATTCTGTCTTCAGCAAAAGTGTGAAACCAAAAGAAAAAAATCTGTCACTGACAACTCAAAAATTACTTCCCCATACTTGTCCTTCTTTCTTTGCTTTTACAAAGACCAAGCAAAATGGATTTGTGTGTCTTTAGGGTGAATGAGTTTTGACTTGAAGTAGGACCAGAAAAGTGGACAGATCATAGAATTATAGAATAGTTTTGGTTGCAAAGGACCTTAAGATTATCTAATTCCACCCACCCCTGTCACGGGCAGGGTCACCTCACACTAGACCATGTCACTCAAGGCTCTGTCCAACCTGGCCTTGAACACTGCCAGGGATAGAGCGTTCACCACTTCTTTGGACAGCACATTCCAGTGCCTCACCACCCTCACATTAAAGAACTTCTTCCTTATATCTAACCTGAACTTCCCCTGTTTAAGTTTTAACCCACTGCCCCTTGTCCTGTCACTACTGTCCATGATGAATGGCCATGTTGACTGGCACCAGCCACCTTGTTGGCTTTCTTGTGCCTTAGCATGGTTTCCAGGAGATTCTGCCCCATGATCCTACCAGGCACAGAGGTGAGACTGACTGGTCTGTAATTCCCTGGGTCATCCATTTTCCCCCTCTTGAAAATGGGGGTTATATTTCCCTTTTTCCAGTCATAGGAAACTTCACCTGACTGCCATGATTTTTCAAATATGACGGACAGTGGCTTAGCAACTTCATTCGCCAGCTCCTTCAGGACCCACAGATGGATTTCATCAGGTCCCATGGAGTTGTGTATGTTCAGGTTCCTAAGATGATCTCGAACCAGATCCTCTCCTACAGTGAAGGTCTTCATTCTCACACTCCAATCAATTTCAATCAAAATTACAAAGCAGATTAATCACAGTCACAGATCAGTTTAACAGCAACACTGAAGTTTCTGATTAGTACCTGAATATATTTCAGTGCTAATTTTCAGTCTGCTTGATGTGCCAACAATACTATGCATCTGCTACTGTCATATGCATCACTTCAACCAGCAAGTTTGAAATACAGACTTAATCAAAGTGGAAGGAGAAGGTGCTGTACTACCATGGGAACCTCTGATACGCCAAGATAAAGGAATACCTTGTGCTACATGCAGCACTATGACTAGAGGAAGTGCTGTATTCTTTATGTCTCCCTACTTAGTCTGTGTATGAGCTGGAATAGTTCCATGTCGCAGGAACCAAGGGCAAGAGAGGAAAAGAAAACGTTGCTCTGATGTGTACAGTCCATTTTCTAGGTCTGTTGATTGATATTAGTGACAATAGAATCTAGTGCATCTTTTCCTATCAATATTTTTTCAGTGCTTTGTACCATCAGATCACGGCACAGTAAATCTTAGTTTGACATTTTCACTGAAATAAGAGGGCAAAGCTGACTATTGTCAGATTAAGACTGACCCTAGTATATTCAGCAGAGGTGTTATGCTTGATTTGCTACTAATAATAAAGTATCACAAGTTTGCATGGTGACTTCCAGGGCACTGTGAAAATCAGAGCTGCTGAAGTAAAAGTTGTAGTAAAGCGTTATATAAGGATTGCTGCTTGAAAGAAATAATTTTATTCATGCAGCTGTGAAGCAAATGTCACTGTAATGCAAAGTTGCAGTTTCCTTTGTACAGAAATCACAAGACACTGCTGAGACATTGTCAAAATCATTGCATTATATAATTAGAAATAAAAATGTTTTGTATAATCAGTACTCACAATACAGTTGGGTAGTATAATGTTCATTCAAGTACATTTTCAGTGTTAAAGAAGTAGCAACAATAACATCTTTATGAACGTGTGTGATTCAGTTACCCTTTGTTTTGTTTCCTTTTTGTACATACTTTTTTATACCTGCAGTGAAAGGCCTTTCCTCCCCTCTACAGATCCCCTGTCTACCGCTTCTCTCGAATGCATCACTGTTTTGAGTGGTGCAGAAAAGCATAGTCTGAGCTCAGTAAGAGTTACCCACTGTTTAACTTTTAACTAGACACCCCCACACTGAATCTTGTGTGTTTGGGCAAGACTTTCAATGTCACTCTTCCTCCAGTCCCTCGTTTGTAAAACTAGAAGAATATTACTTGTTTTCCCAGCAGGGGTTTTGAATGGACTAATTAGCTAAGGCTTACAAAGTGTTCAGAGGGTGGAATGATGACTAAATTTATGCTCTGCATGAAGCTTTTTTTTTTTTTTTTTTCTCATTAAGCAGCTGTAACAAACTCAAAATGCCTGGGTTTGCTTCACAAGACTTGTCTTAAAATATATGGTTGATAAGTGTGGACTTTCTGTTATGCCTAAACTATTTTCTGAGCTGCCATTTGAATACAAAGGTCTAGAATAGTGTTAGCAATAACCAGGCATAAACTTTAAAATTGAATAATATTCCAGGTTGCAATTTTGCTACTTTCTGAAATCAGGTACATTTACATGTGTGTAAATTTGTGCTTCTGTTGGTTCACATATTCAGCAAACTAGTAAATTTGCTAGTTCTGTGCTCTGGAAATCTGTAAATGAGCTTTCTTCATCACAGAGTTACCGCCATTTATTTGAGAAGGTAATTTGAATATACAGAGCTGTAGAATATATGCTATACTTCCTCACTTTCTGAATTCTTGGTACATACACTGATGTTCTCTCTGCATCTGACCTTTTCAGTGCCTCCCACCTAGCTAATAGGCAGCCTGGCGCCAACCCTTCTCATCCTCATGTAGCTTTTACCCTAATTGTCTGTTTCCAGGAGATTTTCAGGATGTTTTGCAATTCTCTGTGAGTCTTCTGAACCCATCGCACTGTATGAAATCAGCTGTCCCTTCATTTTTCACCTACAGTAATCAACACAGTCTTTCTTTCACCCTATTTCAGTTTCACACCTTGTTTTACCTTCCACAACACAGCTTCAGGGCTCTTTTCTGGCAAAATCTGTAATTCAGAATATATATCTGAATAACACCCCACACAAATGGCGCATGAATGTACAACTGGTGTCTTCTTGTTGTCTTTTACATGTTTTGTGTAATGACTTCTCACCCTTATCCTTTCCAATAACAGTATCTGAATTATCAAAAATTGAATAGCTTGGCATTTCTTCATTTTCTGCTGTGCATCCTCTTGCTTCTAACTTATCGTTGGAGAGTACAGTTCTCACTCCTGAGAAGGTTTTCTTTTATTCTTTTTCATGAAGTAGATTTAACTAAATAACAATGCTATTTCATACTTACAATTTTATTTTTTTTTAAGTACAAAACAGAGCTCTCTGTATTTTGTGAAGTAATATACAGCACCATAGTATCCCTATATGAGCTGCCTGCTATAATTTTCTTTCAATCTGGACGCCTGAGAAGTATCAGGTATTTTTTTGTCTCATGGGTTCTTCTAAGTTCATTTTACAAGAGCTTGTGGAGAAGTCTTTCTGGGGGCACTCTTTCCTCAGAAGTTCTCAAGGTTTGCACATTTAGGGATTGTTCACAGTAGGGTTGCAAAGATCACAGGGGTGTTTCAGAGAAAAGCCCACCTGAACAATGTTGTTCTCAGGAAGCCATCTTTCTTTTGATTAGATGGAAGTGCTAAACAAGAAAGGACCCAAGTCATTTATCTGAGGCTGGATAAGATGAATTCTTACATGCTATTCACCATTGTAAAATCCACAACTTAACTGCCTTGACTCCTTTTTCAATTTCTGATGTGAAGGTTCCTGGGAATTTGATCCCCTCTAACCAAAGAACATCCCGAGACAATAACAAAGTCAGTTGAAAGGGATATATGCAGAATACCACTATTTCCCATGACTTAGGAATGTTCTGTGAATGAAAATTCAGAGCACAACTCTATTGTGATTTGATATGCTTGCCACCCAGTCTCTCAGAGGATCAAAGTAGAGGCACTTTAAAGCATTCCCTGAAGCAGCCTCTGGGCACGTGGAAATACTCTACTAAGGAATTATGAGATTCGTACAATTTTTTTCTAGGATCAGGATTATACAGCTACTGCTAGAGAATTTTGAAGATGATTGTTCTGGGTTGAGGAAGATAAATTTGGGACATGCCTGAAAATATCTTGTGGACATAGCCCTTATAAGCTTCTTCATGTGAGTGATAAAGAAATATCTTCAGCAGAAGCTTTAAAACTAAAATGTTAATCATTTGAAATACTGTACAGGTTTCAAAAACGTAAAGCATCCTCATCTCTAATCACACTCACTAAACATGATGATACTTATGTCACTGAAGGTCCTGATATTTGCAGATACAAATTTAAATTTAGCAGTCTAAACTAAGGTGACAACGTCATTTTAATTTGATGATGATGCTAATGTTTTAAAACAAGAGGCATGAAATTGGATTAATTTATGAACAAGAAGTTTATATCCATTGCTCTCATCGCACTTTAATAATATTGTGGTTTCCCTTCTGGCACTGTTGTCATCTGAGGAGGTATCTATTGAAAGCATTTATTTAAAGTGTTAATGATATAAATCCTTTGGGATAAAAAGGACAACTAAAAATTTGGTAACTGAGAATCTTCCCTGCCCATTTGTAATGTCATGCCTGAGTCCAAAAAGCACCTTCACTGGAAAGGACCACTATAAAGGAAATACCTTTTGTAAACTGTCATGTTCTCATTTCTTTCTCCTTTTCCCTGGTTATTAGAGCAACCAGTGTTCTTGATACAAGTGTTGTGCTTGTTGTACTGTGTTAGGCCACTTTAGAAAGATAACAGAGATAGTAGGACTTGCTAGCAAGGTGCATCCAGTACATTATAAGCTATATTAATTATATCTGACCTGCCTCACTGTTGGTTTATCTGAATCCTTTTTCTCCCTTGCACTGATCGGAGCACTCAAGGCTTTACTTATCAGTTACTGTTTCTGTTTTAGTTCTTCCAGAGGCTCTAGTAGACAAGCTTTGCCATTTTCTGCTGCAGGAGGTTGAAGAAGAGGCTTCTGCCTCTAGTTCAAAAAGTTGAAACTGCCATAGCGAAGATGAAGGAAA